ATTGTGTGTTGTGTGTGTGTGTGTGTGTGTGTGTGTGTGTGTGTGTGTGTGTGTGTGTGTGGGAAAGTGTTGTATCAGTAACTGGTTGGTAATAAGCTGTAATTGTGGAGCATTTCAAGATGTTTCAGTCCCTCTCACCACTTCAGTCTTCTTCTTTTCACTGTACTCAAGAGATACTGTGTGTGCCGCAGCACATAGACTGTGTGTGTGTGTGTGTCCATCCTTGGGGACCCTTCACAAGAGAATGTCCTGCGTTGTTTCTTTGGAAGGGTTCAGTTTCTCCTGCAGTAAGAGAGAGAGAGAGTGTGTGTGTGGGTGTGTGTGTGTGTGTGTGTGTGTGTGTGTGTGTGTGTGTGTGTATGTGTGTGTGCAGGACCACATTAAGACTAACAGATTCCCCAAGGCTTTAGCTCTTATGGAGGGCCCTGTGCACCTTTGCATAGACCTACTGCCTACATGCTCGCTTATATTAAACTAGAAAAGTAAAGTTTAAGATGAACTTTAATGTTGGCTCGACAACCTGACTTGAAAGTTGAAATTAGTTCTGAATAGTTTTTAAATTTGAAGAGTATAGTTTGAAAGTTATCTCAGACTGGTAAATATAATATTTTTAAATAAGTCTCTCATCAAGCCTGCATTTATTTAATCAAAAGTGCAGTAAAAACAGTAATATTGTGAAATATTATTACAACATAAAATGTGTTTTTGTATTCAAGTATAGTATGAAATATAATTTATTTCTGTGATGACAAAGTTGAATTTTCAGCAGCCATTACGTCAGTCTTCAGTGTCACATGATCCTTCAGATATCATTCTAATATGATGATTTGGTGCTCAATAAATATTTCTTATTATTATCAGAGTTGTTTAATATTTTTTAATTTTATTTATTTGAAATAGAAGTCTAATAAATACATTTAATAAATGTCTCCACTGACACTTTTTTAAACGCAGCCTTCCTAAATAAAAGTAGAAATTTTATTTGCAATTTCATTTAAAAAAAACATACTGTCCTCAAAATTTTGAAAGGTAGTGAATCCATATATATATATATATATATATACTGTTAGAGATATTTTTCATTAAAAATTGAAACCAAATGTCAATGGAAATAATTTTTATTTTGTGATTTTGTTAACTTGACCTGTGTTGTACGACACTATAAAACAAAGAGACTGTTTTGTCTTTTGAGGAACACGCAATAAGAATTAGCAAATGATAAGGAATATAAAGTAAATGTGTTCAGAGCTCTGAGATTCAACTCATCTGTTATTCTGTCTCTTCTTCAGTCAGAAGTTGAGTTTGTTGGAACGTGTGCGGCTGTCGACCCCGAGACCGTCGATGGTAAGGGCCCGTGTGATGATGCCTGCTGCCAATCCTGAAAGTGTGTCAGGGAACTGCGGGCCAGCAGAGGCGGTTGAGGAGAGTCCATCAAAAGAGGGCAAACCAGCAGCGTTCAGTAACAGAGAGAGATTCAGAACTGCTTTCAGAATGAAGGCCTATGCCCTGAGACAGAGCTCAGAGGGTATGACACACACACACACACACTCACTCACATACTCAAGATGCATTTTTAAAAGCTGAACTTCTTTAAAGTACTAAACTTTTTAACTAGTGCATACTTAGAAAAAACAGTACACAGTACTTGTACAGTTAATATGCATACTCAATATACATAAATATACACACTCTTAGCAATTTACACACTATAATAATAGATACTACTATAAATACACAAGTATAGTAGACACTTACACAATGCAGTTAATCTAACCTTGTTTTGTTGTTTCACTGTAGATACAGGAGGTCTGCCTGACCCCACTCCTGAGGAGAAGGGCTTCCCACCAGACATACTGCTGGAGGAGATGATTCCAACTCTCAAATTAGTCATAAGAGCATTGCGGTACACAAATATTAAATCTTGTGTCCATTCTTCTTTATGCACCAAGAGCTTGTAACACTCCAAAGAGAAAGGAAAAATTGAAATCACATCATATGACCCCTTTAAAAACCACTTGTGATCTTTTTTCACTTTTTCTTTATTTAATTTTTTCATTCTCTTTTGTTCTTTCTTTCTTTTGTTCTTTCTTTCTTTCATTTAGCAATAAATTGACTAAAAGTACTTTTACATTTAAAAAAAAAATCTATATTTAAAATAAATGCTGTTCTTTAGAACTTCATACAATTCTGAAAAAAAATCTATCACCGTTTTCAAATATTTTAAGCAGCACAACAGTTTTTAATACCTTGATAATAATAATAAATGTTACTTTTGCACTAAATCAGAATATTAGAATAATATCTGAAGGGAAGACTGGAGTAATGGTTGCTGAAAATTCAGCTTGGTCATCGCCGGAATAATTACATTTTAAAATATTTTGAAATGGAAAATAATTATTTTAAAATGTAATATTTCATGAAATTACTTTTTTCTGTATTTTTATAAAATAAATGCAGCCTTGGTGAGCATTACATTTACATTTATACAATAAGCAGATGCTTTTATCCAAAGCAACTTACAAAAGAACTTCTCTTTTTTTCTCTCATTTTGTAGGATCATAATATTCCTTTTGAGTAAGAAGCGTTTTAAGGAGACTCTGAGGCCGTATGATGTAAAGGATGTGATTGAGCAGTATTCTGCAGGACACCTGGACATGCTCACCAGAATCAAATATCTACAGACACGGTAACACACACACACACACACACACACATTAAAACATACACTCATGCACATTTTAAAGAAATACTATAGGAAACTTTTAAATGACTTCATGATGATAAAATGAGTCAAACATTTTTCCATTTCAAATTGTTCACTTGCATCATTTAAACTGTAACATATAATCTTCTTGTGAGTAAAATAATCTAATATTTGCTGTTTCATCTTTAGACTAGATCTGATACTGACACCAGGACCACCTCTCACTCCAAAACACAAGAAACCCCAGAAAGCACCATTTCCGTACCCCACCCAGCAGTCACCTAGGTAAAAGCTCACCAAACTTTAAGGAATATTTATTTTTATATTTTAATTATGTTTAAAACTATATTAAACACTATATTTAAAGCTACACTATTATTTTGCTAGAGCATAATCCTAATAAAACCACAACCATTTTTAATAGTGCTGTCAAACGATTAATCGCGATTAATCGCATCCAAGATAATATACTGTACATAATATACTGTATGTGTGTGTACCGTGTATATTTATTATGTACAGTATATATAAATACACATACAGTATATATTTAGAAAATATTTACATGTATATACATTTATATATTTATATTCTTATATTTTATATTATATTTTAATATATTTAATATATAAACATAACATTTTTCTTAAATATATACATGCATGTGTTTGTATTTATATATACATAATAAATATACACAATATACACACATTATGTAAACAAAAACTTTTATTTTGGATGCGATTAATCACGATTAATCATTTGACAGCACTAATTAATAATAATGACTAATTAATCCCTATATTGAATAAAGAGCTCTGCAGATATATAATTTATTATTAATAATTTAGTATCATTTTTTTATTAAATTAAGTAGATGTAACTATTCTCATTTATACTCTTTTCCTCAGATTTACATTCCCTCTCCATTTTTCTCTCTCAGACACGAGTCATATCTTGCCAAAGCAAGCCTGCCAGATCCTGAAGACCAAAGCATGATGGGTAGATTTGTGCGGGTTGAGAGACAGGTACTTGCGCTCTGACAGCTGGTTGTGTGGCCTAGCTAAAGTTGTTGTGCTAAACTCTGTCGTCGCCTCACTCACAGGTGGAAGACATGGAGAAGAAACTGGATTTCCTGGTGGATATGCATATGCAACATGACCTCACAGGCCCTGGCCACATGACCATGGAGCACTACGAACCCACGTTGACCGTCAGTGTCACAGGCGACCGTGTGTACTGCAGCTACGGCCCGCCGCCGCACAACACGCCGCATTACACGCGCTCCGACGCCAACCCGCCCAGACCGACCGTCCTGCCCATCAGCCCACTGCCAAGCCACTCCTCGTCCTCCAACGTCAGCCAGTCGGGAGGCCGCAGGGTGGGAACGCCACTGTCGCTGTTGTCGGTCACTCACGAGGAGCTGGAACGCTCGCCCAGCGGATTCAGCATCTCCGCCGAGAAAGAGGAGGTCACGGGCAAGGCCTCAGGGTTAACGGCAGGGTCGAGCTGGGGCCGCGACCGGCGCTATTTAGCTGAGGGCGAGACGCACTCTTTCTAAAGACTACAGACTCTGTACAGCACAAAACGACACAGACATAATACTCGTCATATCTAAATATGTATCCACGTCACGCTTTACCCCTGCAAAGCAAAGAGCACTGCATGGAATGCATGAGTTTTATCTCTAGTGGTAGACACCGCACTTGGCAGATCGAGACTCTGTGGTTATATTTGACTGGGAACTTTAAGGGAGGAGAACACAACAGATGCTATGCCATTTTTGTAAACATTTATTTTTCTATTTACACATCTTTTCATATGCATGGACTGCATGACTCATCCACGGAGCAGCTAAATGTATCGACGTCTCCTCCGGTTTGCACTTGCTTTTGAATACTTGGGTTTGAGCACATCTTGAGCTCGTTTTTAGTTCCTTTTGCAGATTGTACAAACCTTTTTACTCTGGTCTGCATGAACTGCACTCTGGGACATGTCATATTTTCGCCACTAGCTGTTTTAAGGACCAAAAGCAGAGTCTCAGTTAGGAATTCCTCAAGTGTCTGGCCTTAATCCAACCAATGAGCACATCCCGCCTGTGAGCGGCACATAAAACTGCCGGCTCAATGAATATTGCCACTATCGTAGGACCAGCGTTCCCATGACAACTAGTTTCCTTACGGTAACCCTACATCAATCGCACAGATCATTCCAGGGTCAATTAACTGTGGGAAATGATCAAACTTTATCCTTAGACAGCAGAATTATTTTTTAACATTGACCAGTTTACCTATCAAATTACAATAATTATTAGTTACACTTACTGAATGTTTTTACTCCAAAACAAATACTTAGATCTTCCAAAAGGTTTCACATTGAACAGATCATGCGTAAATTCAGTGTTCAAATGTGAATTTACTGTCTGTTTTTGTTGTAAAATTAATTCAGTCTGTATTGTCAGTTTTTCCCCAGGTTATTTTAGTATAATTAATCTTAGATACTACTATAGTTTTTTATATTAAATTTTTTTTTGTATATTTTCCATTTCATTTTAATTTTAAACTTGCGAGTGTTTTTTTATTTTTTATTATTAAATTATTTTGGTTTTAGTTTTTTTTTTTAAGTACAACAAGTTAAATTAAATGAAAATGACAAATGTTGCCCTGGCAAATAACAGAAATATTTTTTAAATATTTTATTTCTGTTAATTTTTATTTTAAACTATTTTTTGTTTTAATTTTATGTTGTTTCGGTTAACTATAACCACCCTGCCCCTGGTTATGGGTTCTGCATATCTACTTCCATTTATTATCTAATTATTTATTTTATAGTTCACAATGTCGAAACTTGATGTTCAGTAAATCTTGCACAAATCAAATTTTGCAACTTGCATTTAGGGTTTGAGATAAATAGTACTAATATTAGTACTAATATCTGTATACCTGTAACAACAAAGAGTTTGAATTCAGAGAAAAAAAGCCATAAAATGGAAATGAACAATTACTCTTAAAGTTTTAGTTATTTCATTTATTGGTCATTTTGACCATGGATGTTTTTTTTTCCTCTCTTTGTTCCATTCTTTCCTTCTCTGTTACTCTGTCTGCTATAAGCCTGGGGTTATGATGAGGTCAAGGCAGTAAAATGAGGTTTAATATGATGTTAGATGCTTAAAGTGATGAAGTTCACCAAATGAAAATGACTTTTTTCTTCTGTGGACACAAAAGATATTTTGTCTAAAAGAAGAATGTTTTTGTCCATACAAGAAAAGTCAATGAGGCCCAAAACACTGAGACATTTTTCCAACTATCTTCTTTTGTGAGAAAGAAAGTCATACAGATTTGGAACAGCATGAGAGTTGAGTAAAATGAGGTTTAATATGATGTTAGATGCTTAAAGTGATGAAGTTCACCAAATGAAAATGACTTTTTTCTTCTGTGGACACAAAAGATATTTTGTCTAAAAGAAGAATGTTTTTGTCCATACAAGAAAAGTCAATGAGGCCCAAAACACTGAGACATTTTTCCAACTATCTTCTTTTGTGAGAAAGAAAGTCATACAGATTTGGAACAACATGAGAGTTGAGTAAATGATGACAGAATTTTAATTTTTGGGTGAACTATCCCATTAACCATCCTATAATCCTGCGATCATGAGACTAAACACTGCCGCTCATCATCATCTCAGACTAAACACTGTTATCAAGTCAAACTCAAATATCCATGATCTCAAACTAAATACTGTTGTCATTATCCCAGAATAAACACTACAATCAACTTTTTATTTCAAACTAGTCACTAAGCACAGATGTCCAAACACTGTTATCCATTACTATCCTTAACTGAACCAGCTAAACTAAAAATCAGTCACAAATCAGCCCAATAAAGCGGCCCGCTAATATCTTTATACACTTTATCTTGGATTAAAAACTGTCAATTATTATCTCAGACCAAACAGCTGCCCATTACTATTATTCACCTGCTCTCTGAAAGTAAGAACTGCTATCTGATTTTCTCTCTGACTACTGACTGCTGTCTATTCTGATCTCAGACTACTGATGTACACAGATACACTGCTGTTTATTGTTTGTGCCTTGGCCTTTTAGAGCACCAGTCCCTCTCTGCCAGTCATTACGTTCTCTTCATCATGAATCAAACCTGCCATCATTTTGCTTTTTGGGCCATCCATAATCGTTTTGCTCTCGGTGGTATCAGTAAAGCATCTGTTCATTTTCCTAGGACCTATTCGGTTGTGTATTTTCCTTTTGAAGAACCAACAAATGATGTTTTCGTTCTCTTCTTTTTGGTTTCAGATGAAATTATTTCACACTAGTGGCCTTCTAAGCTCTTATATTCATTCCAGTTTTTGAATAATAATCTTTATTTACATTCTGGTCAAGGCCAGTTTTAATAGTTTAATTTGATGAGATAATATGCAAATGTTATGACGAACTTGATTTTTTTATGTTAAATCTTTAAATTGCACCAGTTAGTAATAAATATATATTAAAATATACATTGCGGTTTGTTCTTGTTTAATTAGAAGTCCTCAATTATGACTTTGTTTAGAGACAGATGCTGCTGCATTTAAGTCAGTGTTGTTGGGGAATGTTACATTTGAAAGTAAGTAGTAGAGTTTAGAATAAAAAGCAACTAGTTATGCCACATTATTACTTATTATTAAATGTAACATTTATTGTTGCATAAATCTATACAATGCCATCCAAACGTGGGATCTGTAAGGTATTTCATGTTTTGAAGATACAATAACTGTTCTATTTTAATTCATTTTAAACGTAATTTATTCCCGTGATGCAAAGCTGAATTGTCAGCCAGCCTTCAAATGATCCTTCAGAAATCATTCTAATATGCAGATTTGGTGCTCAAGAAACATTTCTTATCAGTATTATATACATATAACTGCTTAATATGTTTGTGGAAACTGCGATAAAAGATTTTTTGATGAATAGAAAGTAAAAAAAAAAGTTATTTATTTGAAGTAGAAATACTTTTTAAATGTCTTCACTGTTATTTTGCCTGCAGAAATAAATATTATGAATAAAGAACTTGTATTTTAGCCAGAAGCAATGCTTTGAAAGCAAAACCTTTTATTAATGGACTGGTTTCTTACTATACAAACACCCAGCTTTTCGCTTCACAAGACATTAATTGGTGTACTGGAGTGGTGTGGATTACTATGTGGATTAATTATTGTGATGTTTTTATCAGCTGTTTGGACTCTCATTATGACGGCACCCATTCACTGCAGAGGATCCAATGGTGAGCAAGTGAATAATGCTAAATTTCTCCAAATCTGTTCTTGTAAAAAAAAACTAATTTATATCTTTGACGGCCTGACAGTGAGTAAACTTTCAGCAAATTTTCATTATAGGGTGAACTACTAGAGAAATATAGTGATCGCAAACTTTTGAATGGTAGTGTACTGTATATGGTGACATACAGCATATTAGATTTGTTGGTTTAAATATCCCATACCTTGAAAACAGTAACTGAAAGTAACATGTGTTGCTTGTAAAACATGACACTAAAGATTCCCAGCTGAACCGACATTTAGCATCGCCTGGTCACCAAAGAGCCAGTCACTGAGTTCAGTAGAGTCGCAATAACAGAAAATAGCTGGAAATATTGTGCCGAACACAAGTAGAGGGGTTGTTGTGGCAATGGCCCTCTGCCTAGTTCTTGGTGTCCAGGACAACAGAGTTTCCCAGGCCTTGCGCTGTCCCAGAAACCATACGCTGCCAAACAGAATGTGCATGAGAAGAGAGGCTTAGTGTACAGGACGTGTGATTTTCATATTTAAAGAAAGGCCAAAAGTGTCAACTTCAGGGCTTTTTGGACAGCTACATCTGCAAGAGAAAAGAGGCTATACTATTAATTCGTCCAAATAAAAAGAAAATTGGCTTTTGGGGATGTCTGAAGTAATTTGAAATCGCATCTATGAAACCGTTATAGTGAAACCGGCATGTGTGTGAGTTTGTATAACTGTGTGTTACATTTAGCAGGAGGGAGAGAATCTATATCTGTGAGAGTTTCTTTGTGTGTGATTGTGTGTGTGGGAGAAAGAGAACGATTCTATATCTGTGAGAGTATCTGTGTGTGTGTGTGTTGGGCTGAGAACAGGTCCTCTGTGTTTGCCAGCTGAGCTCAGGTGACACACTGGAGGGCTATTACAGCCTGTTGCCCTCTCCGGGGACCATGATGCCCTGCTGGTTCTGTGTGTGAGTGTGTGAGAGACAGCGGACAGCGAGCAGATGTCTGTCTGTGTCCTGCAGTGTCTGCGTCTCTCTTCTGCAGGTGAGTGTGTTTTTTTATTATTGTTTAGTTCACACTCTTCCTCACTCTCTCTGTGTTTCAGCTCTCACTGGCACTTAATATACAGTGTGAACTTTTTAAATGATTATTCATTTTATTATTTCTAGTGTAATTTTAGTTTGGATGAATAATTCTGTCTTTTTGGCAATTTTAAGATGTAAATATCTCTTTATAATATTTTTGTAATTGATTTAATCAGTGAGTTGCATGTATTTATTTATGTATTTATCTA